CCCAATGAAACATAGTACACACCTGATCAGGTTGTAAAACTGAAGGTGGGGCAAGATCATCTAGAGATAGCTGAGTGTTGATGACCGATGGGGGAGCGTAATCTGGGATAGCCGGCATGTTCTCCACAATCTAAAACATTAAAAATATATAAACAATGTGATAATATATTATAATATAATCGCAAAACAGTATGAGTAATCACTAGTAGATACTCACAGGCTCTACTTCATCAGCAGGTTTTGGTTCTTCCCTGACGGTGTTGGCTCGTGCTAGTTCCTCAGTTAAGTACGCGCTTGTGTGTTGTGTCACGAGGAGATGAGATAGAATGTCCGTGCCTGGAGTAATATTATATTAGAACAACAAAGTTTTTCATACAGAATCGCAATATTTACGAACTGTATACAATTTTTGCGTCGCGAAAGTTAATACGTATTGTTTCTTCTTTCCCATTACTCATAATAAATCTTCGCAATAAAATCTGTTAGTACTACTTGTTTAATTTAACGATGCCGTCTGGGGATTAAAATCTTAATATTTTATTAGTTACTATAGTCATTGGTTAATTGTATATTTTATATTGATCTATGTATGCTGCTGGTCTAACAGTTACATATATATATAATTTATAAAAGAAAATGAAAATATATTATATTCATTGATATCCTATAACCAGTGTAAACTGACTTATGTCTGTAGAGTATTCGCAGACGCAGTATAGCGTGGGAGCGGGTCTAGGAGCGGCCTCCAGTGAAAGTGAGCCGGCGCAATATCCACTGTGTCTCAACATCGCTCGGTAACATGATGTAGCATATGGACACTTGCTGCGCGACGTGCGACCGCTGTATATGGAGAATATTAAAATTATACTTTAGTATGTATTAAACATTTGGTATATTATTTATCTAATCTTTCTTCATTAGAAAATATAGAAATATTAAAAAGATGATATCACAATATAATAAGGGCTACTAAAATAACATTTTTTTTGTAAAAGTTAATGAGTGTTTTCAACACGATAAAGAAAAAACTACGTCTCTTTACTGACATTCAATAAATCTGATTGTATTCAATGTTTGCAGCGTCGTTTTATCAAGTGGTTATACTAACAGGAAGTGTTTGTCACTGTCAAGCGGCGTGTCACACTCGCGACATAGAAGACCCTCTTGTATGACCAACGTGACACCTTCATACGTGTCGCTGATGGCGTGACACGCGACGTCCTTGATGGGAGGGCGGGCTTTGTTCTGAAAATAATATATTATTATATAATTGCAGTTTGTTAATTGTAGATAAATAAGTAGCAGTATATACAAGTAGCAGTAGAGTTATATGACGTACATACCTTGGGCAGGTTAATCAAGTGCTCAGTAGAACACAGAGGTAGAACCTCCTTGATCGGGTTGTGGTCTCGAAACTGATGCTCTTTCAGTTGACCTGAAAAATATTATACGTATTAATGTGTGTATTGAACTCATTTTATTGTAAATTAAACTTATATTTTTCGGATATACTACGCTACTTGATTTTTGATAAAAACTACATACTCCCGAAGTTTCGGCTACTTTTCAGCAAACGTGATCACGGACAGACGAGATATGAGCGTTTATTTATATTGTATAATGAGACTAGTAAACCCGGCGGACTCCGTTTCGCCACCAGGCGTGACTCTCACGTAAATTGAGAAGCTTAGAAATGTCCCCTTAACGTCGATTTATTAAACTTACTCACTTATTAAAAGATAAGATTAACAGTTTCTTTTCTCGTCCCAAACGTATTATTATGTAATGTAAATTGAAACTCAGATTATTTAGGTTCTATCACATATAACCATAAGTTTGAATTTCAAATGATAAAAATAAAATATTATGAAAATAATCATGATTAATGTTAATGTTAGAAATAAAATACAATATTACATATGTTAAAGTGATAAAAATCTAAATAATATTCCGAAAAAATATATATTACTTGTTTACATTAAAAAAATGGTGGTTTCGAATATGGGTTTTTTAAAAAGTAGGTGTAATTAATTTTGACCTGTTTTTTTATTAACTAGGGTAAGATTTTTCGTTGTTATACAATAATGTTATAATTAAAATAGAAATTTAAAATAATTCATGAAAAAATTATTGGCCAAAGTCACATGTATGAAACTACGTAATATATGTAGCTTTGGAATGATATTCAAAAATTGGAAATGTCAGCGAATAATTGATTATATACAAATGTATTGAAAAAGAAGAAATAAGCTTAATTGAATTAAAATCAAAAGTATGTTGTAGTTCTCCCTTCAAAAGTTAAACAACTTGCTTATTAAATTTCATAAAAAAAACAATTGGATGCAGAAATAAAAATTATGTATAATTTGTTTCAATACTATAACAAATATTTTAAAGGTTGATTTATTATTGAGAAAGTATTTTAAAAATGAATTTCATCTCATCTTCCCGCTAACGAGTTTAATATAAAGTTATTTATTCTATAAAATCAGACTACATAAGAGAACGTGACTAAAGAGCATAAAACATAAAAGGTAATTCAGCGGATCCTTAAAAAACTATCTCATTAAAGTAGTAGCATTTTTATTATAATAAATTTGTGATTCAGAACTCTATGTAATTTAACGATGAATATATTGAGAATTTTTGTTAAAAAAAAATTATAAAAAGGATTTCTATGGCTTTTTGCCTATTTGTTTCTGTTTAAATTACAAAATATCAATTCATATAAGTAAATAATAGATTTTATAATACAACTAGCTTTCCGCTTGGAGTTCCCTTATATCGTGTTTTCAAGAGAACCTTTCAAAAGTCTGGGATAAAAACTATCCCATGTTCTTTCTCAAAGTCAACTCTATCTCTGTACCAAATTTCATGAAAATCAGTTCAGTGGTTTAGGCGTGAAAGCGTAACAGAGAGACAGACAGACAGAGCTACTTTAACATTTATAATATTAGTAGGGATACTTAATGTCCGAATTCTTTAAACAAGCTTTCATATGACAACATAATTAAGTAGCAACAATTTTAGGACTGTAGTGACTTCCTCGGCTTTGTAGACCAGATCGTCCGCAAATCTGACAGGAGTGGGAAAAGACTGAATTCTTAAAATCAACTATTACAGTTCCTTAATATATTTACAATGATTAATTAAATAATTGTATCATGAACAATAGTTAATTTTAAATGTAATTTAACAGTAGACAAGTTTGTGTCTTGTATATTTCTTATATTAACGATGTAATTCTTTTCTTATAATGTAATGATTTGACCCTAACGGCTTGAACCCAATACTTCTATTGAATAATCATCACTCAAGTCTTAAAATAACAAGTGTTACGAAGAATGTTTTTATGATATAGTTTGTTTGAAAAATATGGAATAAACAGAAATTTTTATAAATTAAAATTATGAAAATTTTCAGAATCTTCTAAAGATGGAACTAACAATGTGATTATGGCTATGTGAAGAACTAAGAAATTGAAAACGTTCTTTTAGATATGAAGGAGAAGACGGATTGAACAGAATACAGTACAGAAGTTGAAGGATGTGAGTATTCCTGCGAAGCCGGATTGGGAGCCACTTGAGCTTTTTACGAAACTCAGAAACGTGAAAATGATCTGTTCTGGCTAGCTTCTTAACAATTAATATAAATAAGGGCAGTTACTAAGTTTTACAAATATCTGCAAATTTTTCTTAACTAAAATCGTGTTCGATTTTTTATAACAAATATATAAAAAAGGACTCATATAAAGTCATAGCAATTCATAATGTCGTTATCAAGTATAATATAGAGGTAATATTTCTACGGAAAAGCATTTGTATTCGTTAATAAAGGAATGTTATTTATTGAGTATTTTATTTTAAGGTACATGTGATATAAGTAACATCATGGTATCATTCCGTATCGGTAGTATATCACAAATCATTGAAATGCCACGAAAATCAATATAATAAAATTAAGAATAATTGGGAATACCTTTTCTGGGTCATCCCACTTTCAAACTCAGACTAAAGTTATAATCGGATATAGGAGGAAACCCTTTTACATTTTTAGTCTCCGTTACTAATTAAGGAAATAAAATTATTGTAATAAAGTTCTATCAAAATAAAATTATTCTGAAAGTCCTTTCTGATAAATACACTTTTATTTCAAAGTTAAACAACTTAGTGCTAAAAAAATAATGAGTCAAAAAAACTTTAATATATTGTGTTTGGATCTTACGTTTATGATTTACTAATTTTAAGTACAGTTGTTCTGTATTTTGATACTGCTAAAGACAGTTCTGAAATAAATTTTTGTTAAAAATATATGAATGGAATACTTGAAAAAGAGAATTATATGATATAAATGTTATATTAATTTTAAAGTAATATCATCATTCAACAGCTTCATTTATTACTTGCAACTATTTTACTTCAAAAAGTATTTCTTTTTAACCAAGGATCTCTCTGAAAATGAAACGAAAACGCGAACGTTGAAGGTTGAAATAAATTGTTCCTCTAAGACATAGATGAGGATATTTCAGAGGGTTTACAAAATTGTATATATTATACTTATAGTTACTTAATGCTAGGTGTTGTTTTGGGATGGCTGGAATGTAATTAAAATATATTCCTTCACTCTCATTATATGTAGCGTATTTATATTATAGAGTATATTTTGTTTTACGTAATTAATTAATTTATTTTATTGCGGGTATTGAAGTTAACCTAATCTCCACCTTTTTCGTCTTTCAGTGGTCCACAAATCTACACAAATTTCAAATAATCAGTTTGGCGTTTTAAATGCAAACTGGTTCACACAAGATACTTCTCGCTGCACTCAGTCCTCATCTCGTCAAAAACTGCGGCCTTGCTCGATAAAAGCAAAGGCTAAATTTCGTCGTTTCATAAATACTGTTTCTTATCACGAAAGGCCGCGGAATCTTAGACTGCATGGAAAATTAAAATTTTCCATTAAAATTTTAAACTCGAGGAAGTAGATAGCAGATATATTAATTAGGCCTCGGCCTCGAATTTTGCGGGCAGCGGGAGCGGCAGCGGGAGCGGCAGCGGGAGCGGCAGCGGGAGCGGCAGCGGCAGCGGCAGCGGGAGCGGCAGCGGGAGCGGCAGCGGGGGAGCGGCAGCGGCAGCGGCAGCGGGAGCGGCAGCGGGAGCGGCAGCGGCAGCGGCAGCGGGTGCGGCAGCGGGAGCGGCAGCGGGAGCGGCAGCGGCAGCGGCAGCGGGAGCGGCAGCGGGAGCGGCAGCGGGAGCGGCAGCGGGAGCGGCAGCGGGAGCGGCAGCGGGAGCGGCAGCGGGAGCGGCAGCGGCAGCGGGAGCGGCAGCGGGAGCGGCAGCGGGAGCGGCAGCGGGAGCGGCAACGGGAGCGGCAGCGGGAGCGGCAGCGGGAGCGGAAGCGGGAGCGGCAGCGGGAGCGGCAGCAGCGGGAGCGGCAGCGGGAGCGGCAGCGGGAGCGGCAGCGGGAGCGGCAGCGGGAGCGGCAGCGGGAGCGGCAGCGGGAGCGGCAGCGGGAGCGGCAGCGGCAGCGGGAGCGGCAGCGGGAGCGGCAGGATCTTACGCGTATAATCAAATGGACCGACCCTCGAATACAGCGGTGCCCGCTGCCCGCTAGTTTGGAGAACAGTATGCGTTTCCGTGCCGCCGCCGCCGCCGCTCCGCTGCCCGCAAAATTCGAGGCCGAGGCCTTACATTACTCAGTAAGTGTGTCTGTCTATTATAAATAAATATTAACTAAATTCAAGATTCATACTGCTGAATAAGAACTGCGATTATGAGATTGGATAAAATTTGATAGAAACCGAAGAGAAATCATTTAATATCTCCACATACATACATAGTATGGAACAAAATCGCTTTCTCTGTTTCTATATTCCCTTGTATGGTTAAATCTTTTAAACTACGCAAAGGAGTTTGATGTGGCTTTTTAAAAGATTGTGTATTTAAAGAGGAAGGTACATATATATAATTTAATATCACTACATAGTATAAAACAAAGTCGCTTTCATGTTCCAAAATCCCTATGTATGCTTAAATATGTAAAACTACACGAAATATTTTAATGCGATTTTTTTAACTAGATAGGGTAATTGAATAGGAAGGTTTATTTTATTTTATTTATTTATTTATTAATTTACAGCGTCAATCTTTATTCAAAAAGTAGTTAAATACACTGTTAATTCAATATAGATCTATATGGCTCTTTACAGTATATAATGTAGATCTTTTGCCCGTGCGAAACCGGAGCGGGTCGCTATGTTTATATACAATGTTCACAGTTTTTGTTTAGTGTATTAAATATAAGCATTAAACGCGTGCGAAGCCGGGGCGCCTTGCTAGAAGATAATAAAATATAGGTAAAGACAACTATATTAATTAAGAATGAATGTATGTATTAGCAAAGTACAAACAATTTAATTATAAATAACTTTTCGAATGCTTTATTTTAATTATTTCCAGCAATTAATTTTAATATTTTCATAATCTAAAAGCTACGGAATTGTAAGTGAAGCAAAAAATACCCAATTTGTCACTTATAATTCAAAGGGCATTATTTTGAAAAGAAAGTTGCTCATTCAATTAATGTTCTTATTTCTATGATGATATAGTTTATATTCCAATAAAACAATTCTTATCATCTATACTAATAAAGAGGAAAGAATTGTTTGTTTATTTGTTATGAATAGGCTCCGAAACTACTGAACCGATTTCAAAAGTTCTTTCACCTTGGGAAAGCTACATTATTCCCGAGTAATATAAGCTATATTATATTTAAATAAAAATTAGAGATCCTTACTAAAACTCTAATAATGTAACCCAAGGTGTAAAAAAATGATCTGAAAAATTCCTTACGTCGCGTGCGCTGCGAAAACTATTGATGATAGAACCAAATCATTTACTACGACTTTGCAGAACTCATCATTATCTACAAAAAGTGTCGCGACAGCATATGTCTAAATATTATATGTAGTTATGTCACAGTAAGCGGTTTTTTATTCTAAAAATTTAATTTATTATCCGCCGCTTGAAAAGGCTCTTTATTTGTAACTTGGTATTAATCCTTATCAAAATAAATTACTTTATATTCAAGACGGCTTCAGTACCTTTTTATAACTCTTGGAATTATTCAATTCGGACATTTCATTCGGAAGATATCACGAGTTTAAATATGCAAGTATTAGAAAAAAGTCGCGTGGTTGCCGCTCACCGCGCTCAGCTAGAACATTTAAATGAAACTAAGTTTTATGTAAACTGAGATCTCCTTATACTGACGAGATGAATGTTGACTTACATCTGAGCTGTCCGTGATCACAGTTACTGTATACTATATAGGAAAGGGAACACGTATTATGTAGTAGATAAGACGAAAAAATATTTTTTTTTTGAAATTGGAACTGCTAGGTTAGGCCGGATTGTAAGGTACTCCTGGATAGCGATCAATACTAGTTTCATCACGGTAGGGTTCTGGAAATCCTAAGCGAAGCGGTTAGTCTATACTGGCCCCTTTAACTTACACCTGCATCGTAAATCTCAGTAACTGTTGAAGCTCCTCTGCCTATAACGTTATGTAACCGCAACCTTCACGGTGAATTTATAGAATGCTGAGAAGTTGCATCGCAAAATAATACGTTTGTGCAAATACACAATTGTTTCATAATTTTAAATTACATACCAAATAAAATATTTAATATTTAATATTTAATATTTTATTTGTTGTTTTTTATTGTAATTTCTTAAATAATATCACTTGATACTAGTTAATCTATTGTATAGCGACAGACCTCTTTACAAAGAATACACTTTTATCTGCAAGTGAAGTTAAATCTTAGAGATAAAATGAATCTGAAACGGATTTTGTATTTCATAAAGGCTTAAGCTCTTTTCCTGGAATAAGCCAAATACAGTTTTAATCAATTAATCAATTTCAAACCAAGAAACAAAATTTTGTCTATTTTGTTTTAATTAAAATTAAGCTGAATACATGTTTCATTAAATAATTTCATTTTTAATCGCATCAGATAGCTCTTCTTTTGCTACTTTTCATCCTAGGTTTCCCACTATCTCATTCCTTTGTTTTTAAAAGAAAAACATTACCATAACATGTTATCAATTATTGGTAAACTTTTTTTTTATTTGAAAAGGGGGCAACCGAGCAGACGGCCTACTTGATGGTAAGTATGTAGTTACCGTCGCCCATTGACATCTGCAACGTAGATATGCAGATATGTTGCCGCCCTTGTTAGGGGAAAATGGGGAGTAAAAGGTGAGAGGGGGAGGGAAAAGAGGGAAAGGAAAAGGCAGGAAGGGGTGGGAAAAGGGCTTTCCCTTTTTAAATAATTAACTAATTGGATTACATTTAAACTCCTTGGTATGGTATAATTACATATAAATGTTAGTATAGTATGTTTTTAAAAAATATCCAGCTCGAAGAAATGTTTATTCGATAAGTTCCCCGCTCCTCAAATTCAAAATATTTTTTTTTGTTGTAAAAGGCCACTAGTGCATTAATTTATGGAGAGATTTCGGTAACATGATTTAAAAACACGATATATAACTATACCAAAAATAATTGTCAGATATTATGTTTCCTCTACAATAAAACGTAAGGAGTATAAATAGAATAATTTAAATATTAACAATTAAATTAAAATTTTACAGCAACTACTTATACATTATTAAGTTAAGTTAATTTATCAAACAGTATAAAATAACTCTTTTTGTTTACATAGGAGCGCGTGGTAGTAATTTATTGAAGCAGACAAAATAAAAACGTTTATTTTTGGCAATTCGGCGAAATTTAGAGTGAAACAAACGACGTCTTTAATATGAAAATCTATTTCAATTTCCACAAGTATTCATTAGCAGTGGATCTTGATAATGATATGTTTTAATGATAAATATATACTTTTTTTTAAGTTCTTATATTTTAGATCATAATTAATAAGTGCTACTGTGAGGCCAAATCATCTTAGAGATTAAAAAATATACCTGACGCGCTAATAATAATGCTGATTGATATTTATATTTCATGTTACATAGCACCATCTTCAATTATTTTACTGTAATCAAACCATATAACTGAGTTCTCGCCTGAGTTGTGACAGAGGTTCGGGTAAGAGAGACTGAAGGGGCCGAGGGGAGGCTGGAGGCGGGTTCTGTAAATGTAGTGTTTATTACACTATACGAATTAAATATATATTAGAGAGCATTAATTTAACTCGTATTTATTTTTTGTTCTAAAGTTTTTCAATGACCCTTTTTAATTTGAAAGTTCAATATATACTGTCAGAGTATAATAACGACGTTATATTGCATCTGTAACATGTGTGATATAGATGGTCTTGTATGAGTATTTTTGAGTTCTTTTTATTAAATTATAATATTTATATTAAAAAAATATCTAAAAAACAAGCTTAGAAATGAATATGATAAGTATTTAATGTAATCTCAGTTTTTTTTGTAAGTTCTTCTTTAATATGTACAAGTAAAACATTAAGAGCTGGTGAACATCAGAGAATGTTATTGTCATTGCGCTTCCTATATTTAGGAGCTGTTGGCTAATCAATTATAGTACGTAACATTTGGGGAAACTTAATTAAAAGCTTAATGAAATATATTATGTATAGATTATAATTAATTCGTGTTAATTTGTGAAGTACACGAAAATATATTCTCATGGTAACATTATAAGTTCCTACTTAGAAATCACAGCTGCATTATAAATAAGATAAAAATGCTACAGTCTTCTAATCTTGCTTCCTTTAGTGAATAAAAACAAACATGCCGCAAGCTATTACGTATGAAATAAAGAAATAAAATCCGTCCACAAGCCGAGCAGGCCAAGCGTAGTGACATGCACGATAGAGTCAATCAGACCTCAGATCTCACGTGTACCGTGATACAAATGTTTATAAGAAAACAGCTTAGAAATGACTGTTGAAATAATATCCACTAAGAAAATAATACAGTTTTAAAACGTTATTTCAGACAACGATGCTGAAAAGTATAAAAAGAGCACTTAACGTACTGAACTTTCAATCAGTTAAACCTTGATCGGACCTTAATATAATGATTATACCTTAGATTTACAAAACATTTTAAAGACCGGCTTACATTAAAGTACAACTACACTTTTCAATTTTATTTACTATCGTAAATGTAACCTTAATATTGACTAACTATTTTTCACAAGATTTTGATCAACTGCCTATTTAACCTTTTAGAAATACGATACTACGGTTATGAAAGGTTAGTCTTTCATCTGACAGAGGTTGTGACAAGAGACTCACTCATAGGGGACATGTGGTATCAAGGGACGGTTTATAAATTGTTATTGGCATTTTATGAGTATCACTTAAAACATTCAGAGATATTTGGAGTCTTCTAAACTGTTAAAAGAGAGAAGGATCTTCATCAATCTGTGTATAACTAAAAAGTGATCTTTTAAGTTAATATTGATAACAAAATGAAATACTTCCTTTTATACGTATAAATAATATAACAAAATTATTTGTATAGTCTTTTTACTTACTATTTCTATTTTATATATTTCACTTAGATGGATTGAAATATCCAATGAAATATGTATGACTTTTAAAATTTCAATAAATGACATAACACAGTTGTAATTTAATAGTGATATTGTTTCCACACATGGCTTCATTTTAACTCGAGGAAGTAGATAGCAGATATATTAATTAGGCCTCGGCCTCGAATTTTGCGGGCAGCGGAGCGGCAGCGGGAGCGGCAGCGGGAGCGGCAGCTGGAGCGGCAGCGGGAGCGGCAGCGGCAGCGGCAGCGGGAGCGGCAGCGGGAGCGGCAGCGGGGGCGGCAGCGGGAGCGGCAGCGGGAGCGGCAGCGGGGGCGGCAGCGGGAGCGGCAGCGGGAGCGGCAGCGGGAGCGGCAGCGGGAGCGGAAGCGGGAGCGGCAGCGGGAGCGGCAGCGGGAGCGGCAGCGGGAGCGGCAGCGGGAGCGGCAGCGGGAGCGGCAGCGGCAGCGGGAGCGGCAGCGGGAGCGGCAGGATCTTACGCGTATAATCAAATGGACCGACCCTCGAATACAGCGGTGCCCGCTGCCCGCTAGTTTGGAGAACAGTATGCGTTTCCGTGCCGCCGCCGCCGCCGCTCCGCTGCCCGCAAAATTCGAGGCCGAGGCCTTACATTACTCAGTAAGTGTGTCTGTCTATTATAAATAAATATTAACTAAATTCAAGATTCATACTGCTGAATAAGAACTGCGATTATGAGATTGGATAAAATTTGATAGAAACCGAAGAGAAATCATTTAATATCTCCACATACATACATAGTATGGAACAAAATCGCTTTCTCTGTTTCTATATTCCCTTGTATGGTTAAATCTTTTAAACTACGCAAAGGAGTTTGATGTGGCTTTTTAAAAGATTGTGTATTTAAAGAGGAAGGTACATATATATAATTTAATATCACTACATAGTATAAAACAAAGTCGCTTTCATGTTCCAAAATCCCTATGTATGCTTAAATATGTAAAACTACACGAAATATTTTAATGCGATTTTTTTAACTAGATAGGGTAATTGAATAGGAAGGTTTATTTTATTTTATTTATTTATTTATTAATTTACAGCGTCAATCTTTATTCAAAAAGTAGTTAAATACACTGTTAATTCAATATAGATCTATATGGCTCTTTACAGTATATAATGTAGATCTTTTGCCCGTGCGAAACCGGAGCGGGTCGCTATGTTTATATACAATGTTCACAGTTTTTGTTTAGTGTATTAAATATAAGCATTAAACGCGTGCGAAGCCGGGGCGCCTTGCTAGAAGATAATAAAATATAGGTAAAGACAACTATATTAATTAAGAATGAATGTATGTATTAGCAAAGTACAAACAATTTAATTATAAATAACTTTTCGAATGCTTTATTTTAATTATTTCCAGCAATTAATTTTAATATTTTCATAATCTAAAAGCTACGGAATTGTAAGTGAAGCAAAAAATACCCAATTTGTCACTTATAATTCAAAGGGCATTATTTTGAAAAGAAAGTTGCTCATTCAATTAATGTTCTTATTTCTATGATGATATAGTTTATATTCCAATAAAACAATTCTTATCATCTATACTAATAAAGAGGAAAGAATTGTTTGTTTATTTGTTATGAATAGGCTCCGAAACTACTGAACCGATTTCAAAAGTTCTTTCACCTTGGGAAAGCTACATTATTCCCGAGTAATATAAGCTATATTATATTTAAATAAAAATTAGAGATCCTTACTAAAACTCTAATAATGTAACCCAAGGTGTAAAAAAATGATCTGAAAAATTCCTTACGTCGCGTGCGCTGCGAAAACTATTGATGATAGAACCAAATCATTTACTACGACTTTGCAGAACTCATCATTATCTACAAAAAGTGTCGCGACAGCATATGTCTAAATATTATATGTAGTTATGTCACAGTAAGCGGTTTTTTATTCTAAAAATTTAATTTATTATCCGCCGCTTGAAAAGGCTCTTTATTTGTAACTTGGTATTAATCCTTATCAAAATAAATTACTTTATATTCAAGACGGCTTCAGTACCTTTTTATAACTCTTGGAATTATTCAATTCGGACATTTCATTCGGAAGATATCACGAGTTTAAATATGCAAGTATTAGAAAAAAGTCGCGTGGTTGCCGCTCACCGCGCTCAGCTAGCCAGCATGCGATGTAGGCTCCATGTAAGCGTCACTGGGGTACGGGGAGGGGAGTCAATCACAACTAATATTATAAATGCGAAAGTAACTCTGTCTGTCTGTCTGTTACGCTTTCCCGCTTAAACCTCTCAAACGATTTTGATGAAATTTGGCACAGACAATTTTTAGACCCTGAGAAAAATATAGGCTACCTTTTATTACGAAAAAGGGGATGAAGAGGTTGAAATAGGGGTTGAAAGTTTGTACGGTATTTCTGAATTTTAAAAGAGAAAACCATGAAACTTTATATTTAAGCACTTGATAGGATATATTTAAACATTTGTTCTAGCGTTTTTGAAATTTCGACCAGTGAAGGGGTGAAATAAAGGTTGACAGTTTGTATGGGATTTCTTAATTTTAGAAGATAAAACCATGAAACTTTATATTTAAGCACTTGATAGGATATATTTAAACATTTGATCTAGCGTTTTTGAAATTTCGACCAGTGAAGGGGTGAAATAAGGGTTGACAGTTTGTATGGGATTTCTTAATTTTAGAGGATAAAACCATGAAACTTTAAAATTATAGATCATTTAGTTTTGAAATAACTGAGATACGGAGTTTTGAGACAGCACATACGCGATTTGCTCATAGTGCACTTGGGAAAGCCCCATACAAGGCCGTCTCAAAATCGTTTGACGTGCAAGTCGTTGTTATGGAGTAAAAGTAATAAATTAATTTAGTCTTATAAATAAGCTTTCTTTTCTATATTTTTAAAATTATTATTTTTTGCAAACCATAATATATATTAAAAGGCATCAAAGTTGACTCTTGTTCAATGGTGTTATTTTGGCCCAGTAGGTACGAGTACATTATACTACAATTCAACGCCACATTACTTGAAAATTTTACTAAGATTATAAATGCGAAAGTAACTCTGTCTGTCTGTCTGTTACGCTTTCACGCCTACACCATTGAACTGATTTTAATTAAATTTGGTACAAAAATAGAGTTGATCTTGAGAAAGAACATAGGATAGTTTTTATCCCAGACTTTTGAAAGGTTCTCTTGAAAACGCGATATAACCGAAATCCACGCGTGCGAAGCCGCGGGCGGAAAGCTAGTCTTTTATACAATAATTGAAACGTTTCTCTTGTCAGCGTCAGTGTTCAGGGGACGTGACCAGACTTATAAGAATTTGCAGGAGATGGACTACAGCTTAATACATAGATATACAGTAGGACCTCGATTATCCGGACTAATTGTTGTCGGTAGGCATCCGGATAATTGAAAATCCAATATATGAAGAAAATCGGGCTTTTTGCTTAATATGTACATATGTAGTCTGTACCATACATATGTAATGTTAGGTGTTTATTTAAAACAACAAATACATATGAGCGAAAATCAACGTTTATTAAGAAATTGTACATAATGTACGTATACGTGTTATAAGTAGGGCCCGGATTAATATGTAAATACATATTTTTAATTTACGCGATTTTCAGTCTAAAATGTGTTTTTTACATAGATTGTCATATTTAGATTGTGAAAAATCAACTTTTATTTTCCATATTTTACCATATTTCAAAGTTAAGTCCATATTTTACAAGAAAATGTCACAATCATCCATATATTCACAAAAAAACATAAAAAAATAAAGGATTTAAAACGCTAAAAAATTAACAAAATTCTGTGCGAAAGTTTCGAGGTCTGTAGACATGGCTTACACAATTACTGAATTAAGTATGCATCCATCACGTCATGTGAGTGGAGAGATCATTCAGCAAATATAAGGCTATATTTCGACCAAATGGTCAGTTTTCATTTTGATAATTTAAAGAAGGACGTCATTGTGTATTGCAACCAATTTGATAAAGCTAGTGTAATGGAAGTTGAATAAAACTGTTATTTTTTGTTGAAATAAATATTTCACTCCTTTTTTTTCATCGTTTTTTTAAATGTTTCTTAACGATGTACGTCACGAGTGACCCTTTCTTATAGTAAAACAATGTTTAATTATGAAATTATTTAATTTTATACTACATATTTTTTCCATATTTTTTGATTTTTCGTCCATATTTTATGTACATATTTAAGATTTTTTAATACATATTTATCCGGGCCCTAGTTATAAGTGGCGTGGCGTTATGCAAGTTCTGACATGTTAATGTTAGAATAAACTCGTCGCGGTTGGCAGTCCGGATAATCGCGAATTCGGATAACCGAGGTCCGGATAATCGGGGTCCTACTGTAACTAAATTATATACTTGAGTGTATACAATATTATTTTACTTATAAATTGATATGATGAAAACTTATTAACTTGAAAAATATGACAATTCACAGCAATAATGAGCAAAGCAACCATAAATACCTATTTCAAAAAAATTTATGATTACCAATGCATCCGACGTTTATGTGTGTAGCAAATATCATTGTACAAGTATGACCCACGCTACAATGTTATTGTTAGTAACCTTTTGTACTTTGAATGCCAAAAAAGATGCAATGTACCTAGAGGTATATTTTTGACAGCGATTTTCAATATCCGTCTCTACTATTCAAACTATTTTTGTTGATTCATTTTATTGGTTTTACATGTCAGATAATATCTATTCTGATAATCGGTTACT